GGACGACCAGCGAAACCTAGTTTTCGACATCGCCACTGTTCATCACGTTGCTTCTTCGGCTTCTCAGGCGTAATTGCACCGCCCCTTTCTTCCGGATGCCTCGGAAACCTTGATGCAGGCCAGAGTTACATGACATTATGGCACCTGCAGTGGTGCCTGAATGCAAACCGCATCAAGTATAAGTTGAGTTGAACCAATACCGTTTGCAGCTCCAGTAAGTATGCTTGTATATAGGGAAGACTATCCGTGATATTCTCGGTTTACTAGAGCCTGGTTTTCGATGCCCTGCAAGTTGAAGATGGATGAATATGCATGCGATTTGCTGCCTGGTGACAATACCAGAAACTAGCTCTTGCTGGTAAACTCAGAACATCCTGACTGTCTCTGGTTATATATAATCCAACGGATCAGATATTTTTGTTAATGCTCGAATACGTAGTTGTTCGATCATACCTGAGCATTAATTTTTTGCACCCATGCACCACCGATGCTTAAGTCGTCTGCTAGGCTGCTAGATGCAACGGATTCGGTTACGGTGCGAGTACGTAGTGCGAATCCGCAAAAGCGACGCGGATTATATAAGTATAATGATGATGTAAGTATATGTATACTTATTATATAAGTATGATTCATGTAAGCGTTTTGTGTCAATTGTTTATCATTATCTGGAACAACACCTGAAACGATATTTTTTCCCGGTCGTAGTTAACCAACAGGTAGTTTAAACTTGGTGCAGTTATCCTCTGCTGTCGTCTGGCTATGAAGATTTCACTGTTACTGGGTTCATGATTTGCGAGAGAATCATAAAAAAAGTTATGACGTGGACTAATGGCTGTTCACTAATCAATATGACTGATTAATACGGATATGAGGGTCATACAGTACATGTTAATTTTGGCAAGTCCTTAGAAGTGCTAGCCCTAAAAACTATCAACGCACTGCTAATGAGCTTGACATTCGTCTACCGTTATTGATCATGTCTTTGTCAGACGAAAGATATGGCTCATCGAGCAGTGCAGCATCTGCGCAGCAGTCCTATTTTATCGGAAGCATCAGACTTCTGTGTTTCCCGCGTCGAGCCGTAACAGATTCATGCAGCTAGTTTTCCTTCCTATGCCATTCCATAACTACTGTACAGATTCGTTGTTCCATTGGCCGTATGTCCAACTTGTTTCATTTCTTCGGTACCAAGTTACGAACCCGGTACCGGCGAACAGTGATCTTTACAAAATGGGTATTAATGACATTTTATAACCTGCCCGACAATTGGTTAATCGCTACGACGTGCACAGTGGTTGCAGATCTCGTTCCGGTTTCAGCCGTGATTTCTTCTCACCTTTCATTCCTCGGTAACTTTCTCAAGTAAGTGATTAAAAAACGGGATATCGTGTGCTCTCCGCTCCTTTCTTCGAAAAAGCACAGGCTTGGCAAAGACGCAGGTTTTTTCAAACAATTTCAAAATTTCTCAAGTGTCTTTTTCATGGTAATATGGCACAAGCCACCGTGGTTTTAGACGACGTTCACTTTCGTGATGTTATGCCGTTAGTTCGTTATGGCTGACCACAAAGATATCGACGACATTCCGGAAATGTTTACCAGTCGGGTCTTGTAGTTTACCGATTCGCAGGTGCTAGCCTACCTACGTGGTATTTACCGACGCGGTAGCCTGCACCTATTTTCGCGGTTACTTTGTTTTTTCTGTGCGTTTTTTTTTGGCGAGTGGTTATTGGGCAATCCATTCGTAGTGCCGACCCTCGTTAACTGTCGTAAGTGTCTCGCAACCTTCATTCAGCACAACAGATTCGGTGAAGTAGAGCACTTTGTGAGGATTTGGTCTCTCCAAGACATCATTGGCGAGTGACGGGTAAAACACCGTGGCGTCTCCTCCTATCCGAGCTGGTTCCCGCACCACTTCCAGGTCTTCACGTAGCACGGGTGTCAGAATGCTGTTACTCAGTTAACCTTTTTCAGGTTAACCGCAGTCATCAGATGCACAGTAACGTTCCTTTGCAAATGCTGATGTTAGCCAAGTTACCTGTAGCTGCTGCAGATATGTTGAAATCAGAAAATAGCTGTTAGAAGATTATCCTATAGCGACAGGATATACCACTTTATTTGCGTTGTTTCTTTGCTTCTAAAATTTATTATTATTACATTACTAGAAACGTGTAAACCTTCAATGTTACTACAGTTTCTCTGGTATAATAAAATAAATGGCCAGTCAGTGCAGAATCAAGGTCTTCTCCGTTTCTCGAAGAAACAGCGTATATATAGTCCAGATCAAACCTTTTCTTTGACTGAGTTAGTTTTCCATTACATTTTAAGTTTCAGGCAAAAATTATACTTATATTCGATGCCCAGCGGTTGCTATCTGTTTCTTCTTCCATTCAGGCCTAGCTCACTTGTTCTTTGTCAGCAAGACTGATGCAGCCATGAAATATAGTTTCAGGTTCCCATCAAGGAGAGCGGCCAGCGACTAAAATATCGGCTAACGAAGCTGAGGTTATGGCCGGGGTCGTTTGACAGACCTCTGCCTTTAGGACAGATCCCTTATGCGACTTGCCCCCGTTATGGGTGCGCCATGAACGCAAGTCGACGCCTCTGAAGTATTCTCTGTTCTGCGCTATGTGATTGCACTGATGCCCAACTAATTTTACCATCGGATCGTCCCGGTGTGTTCTTGGATGACCGAGTAGACGTTGGTGGTCCAGCGGAACCCAGCTTTTAATTCTTGATGTATACCGGTTGTAGGAATGGCGCAAATCACGTTAATCCTGTTAATCCAGTTTGTTTTCGAATTTGTGCTCCCGCAATGCGATCCCAAATGGAAACCTTGCATGTTGTTCGTTCTGTCACCCCTCGCGCGATCATCAGTTTGTTTTCCTCGGCTTTCGCAGCAAATCGACGTTCAGCGCCATAGATCACTGTGGGAAGGACGGTTGAATCGAACAGTTCTTTATTCGCTCTCATGGGCAACTCGATGTCGAGTAATGATGTTTTAATACGATTAAATCTGACTAATGCTGCCTTCCTTCTTTTGCTGATTTTCCCGTCTAGCGAGTTCATGCTGTCTTCCTGACGGCCGAGGTATGCATGGCTGGTGATTTCTTCGAGTATTTGCCATTCTCATGGACAGAGTCCTCAGGGCAGTGCTTGTTTCACACTCATTTCGTTTTGGAGAGGTTTACGTCCAGTTCGATGGTGAGAGATTTTTATTGCAAACGCTGGATCTTATGCGAAGTCTTATGAAAGATCGGTCTCACCAAATTATACTCCGGATAAACAAGTCGAGCGAAGGATTGTGGGGTGGGGCGGTTTTGCTTGTTTTCATCACCGATGGCATCATATGAAAGGCTATCGAAACAGCAGTGACCGCGATCACTTGGCAGACTTATGCTTTAAGGCAGAAGTATGTGACAGTCTCGTACTCTGGAAAGGATTAAAGACGGTACTGCTCGTTTTTATCGCCGGAGACATTTAATGAAACAGACATTGACAAAGTTTGGCTGGTCTTTGCTTCCAAGGAACATCTCTACGACAGGGTAATACTAAAAATAGAAAATTGCAATGTAGGATTGAGTGTAAACTGTTCATTGTTATGCATGAAGTCATCACGTTGGAAACTAACGATACTAACAACGGTTTCCAGTCTCCTCTGTCGGGGTCATTTTTTAAGGCAGATCTGGTTAGTCAGATAATAATCTATCTAGAAGACTACAGTGTAAGATTTCTGGTTGGCAAGTACTGATCGCTATTAACCATAAGCATGTCATATTTTAAGTCCACGAAACAGCGTCGCTTAACTGTGTGGCAGATTGCTGTTTGTAACGCAGATCTG